TCTAATCAGTTTTGGGATGTTTTGATTCTATTGCACATCATTTAAAAACACGGTCCTGTCCACCTTCACAATACAGGCAAATGCTTGTTAACAACATCAAAATACTACACCATCAAAGTAATGAAAAAAACTTCAAACTTTCGAGGCCCTCTATATCGAAAGCAACCGACCCACATTCAAGAAAATTTATTACGTGTGTAGCAGCAACGTGTTAAAGTGCATTTAACAAACATTTAATGCCATTTTGCATTTCTTCCAATTTTGTGGGTTAGCTCCCTTGTTTTTGCAAACAGTTCCATAGCTGCAACGGCTAAATTTAAAATTTAAAAATAATGTTAACAGAACGCGTTCACTCGTGTCTTTTAAAAATGATCATCACAGTTACAATAAGTTTTTTTTTTATCTACCTCTGACAATGATCTCGGAGGAGACCCAGTGTACTTGGACAGGAAAAAAATCTACGGTGCTTTCCGTGATGAATTTCATCTTAACAACAAGAAACTGATGAGAGAACTGTCAAAGATTATTATAAAAATAGACATAATATGTCCATATTATTAAGTGAAACATGTTTAAATGAAGATATGCTGCCTAAATAATATATATATATATATATATATATATATATATATATATATATATAAAAAAGATTACTTAACTTTTTAAACATCAATCATCAGGGGTAATGTTTTTGATCGGTATTTCCAATTGAAATAGGAATTATCGCTCAAAACCACAGACCGGAAATTTTACGAAGTAACATCGCTGTTGGGATAAAAACTGATATTTAAAAAGTTAAGTAATCTTTTATAGAATATCATTAATGGTCTATTTTTAATATCAATTTTTAATGTTTTTAATATTGAGCACTATGTATAAAAATATCTGCTTTTTCTTAAATCCTAAATTTTACACACACACACACACACACACACACACACACACACACACACACATATATATATATATATATGGTGTGTCAAAAATATTTTACAAACTTCCTCACACCAAAACAAGGACAAAAGTCCATATAAGCATATGTCCGCAAATTCTTTGTTTTTTGTGTTATTAATTTTAAATAAAGTCTACGATAGATATCGTTGTGTTTTCATGAATAGACGAGGTTACATTTGTCATTCGTGTACATTTATGGCTAGTTTGTCTTCAACATATATCGTATGTAGTATTGAGTTATCTGAGAAGTGTTCCATTTAACAATGGCAGGATATTCATATCGTGAACAGGCAGATATGATTTTTAGCCGCACGAATGGTAATGGACGCGAGGCTGCACGGTTGTATCAGGTTGCGTTTCAGAGACCGAAGGCAGCCGAGTCGTCGAATCTTTGCTGCTTTTTATCCTCGCGTTGCTGAGAAACGAATCGTAGTATCACAAATGATTGATCTAAAAAGACCGAGATCCGCTCGTACGACTGATACGAAGATGCATGTGGTACATGCAGGATGGGGGCTCTAGCAAATTTTAGTCACATTGTTCGCGATGCAGTGGCTGACATTTATCATGAATGATGGATTGTTAGGGGAGGACCCATTCTATGGCCTGCGTGTCCCCACGACTTCAATCCTCTGGATTTTTATCTGTGGGCCCACGTAAAACGATTGGTTTTATGCAGCAAACATTAATAGTGCAGAGACGCTTCAGCAACGTGTGATGGTGGCCTGCGAAACCATTCTACACCGTGTGGGATTATTTGAAAGGGTACGCTAACCAATGATCAGACGGGTGGATGCGTGTGTAGAAGCAAGCGGAGGCCATTTTGAACATTTATTAAGAGTTTCAGTGTTGAGGTACAATGATGGCTTTTGGATATATACTTATATGGACATTTTATCTTGTTTTTGTGTCAAGAACCAACCACCAAAGTTTGTGAAAGTATATATATATATATATATATATATATATATATATATATATATATATATATATATGTGTGTGTGTGTGTGTGTGTGTGTGTGTGAAAATATATAGAAAATAGGAAGGAACTGGTTAGGTAAAAAATCCAAAGTTCCTTAGTATTTTAGTTATTATTTTAAAAATAGTGCTCGATACAAAAGTAGAGCATAAATATAATTATTTTGCGAGTTGGAATCATATTTTAAATAAATAATTATATATATATATATATATATATATATATATATATATATATATATATATATATATAAACGGTTAGGAGAGAAAAACAAAAAGATAATCAAATCCGAATAGAGAAAAACGATGAATACATTGAATTCAATTTTGTTCGGTAAACAAAATTAAACTTATTTAATGGTACACACACGCATGTACATCCAGATACACATACCCATATATTTATACATACATGCATATATATATATATGTGTGTGTGTGTGTGTTTGTGAAGATGTCTCTATGAATGACTATATGCATGCACACATGATGTGACAATGGAGAGATAAATAGATGAGTTGATTAAATAAGAGATCGATTGATAGATAGCTTCATATTCAGTGAGCATCTGTGTCTTCTGATTTTGAAAAAAAAAAAATGACCCACTGGCCACAAAACTCACCCGCAGCGGAAGAACCGGTTGTTTTTTTCACTGAAAAAATTCAAATTACATTTTCTTTACGTAATTCATTCTAATAACGATTAATTGATTAATCAACTGGTCGACGGTATTTAGTATCAGTGCTTGTTATCAATAATCAATTGTGTGATGGAATTTATCATTCCGATGTCTTTGAACTATGAAAATTCTCTTGGAATTAAAAAAAAATGAAGAGAAACACAGAGAGAGAGAGAGAGAGAGAGAGAAACACAGAGAGAGAGAGAGAGAGAGAGAGGGGGGGATTAAAAACGTTGTTCAGACGATCGAAGTAGACATTTTTCAAATTGCACAATTAAAACCAGAAGAAATGACAATTAACGAATTTTACTGATCCGTAGTGGAAATTATCTTTTGTCTTTAAGAATTTTTTTAAAAAAAGATTTATTCTATGTTAGAAGTAGTCATTAATTTGATTATTACGACGAAAAACAAAAATGATGCTAGAGATTATAACATTATTTTAATATAAGTCTCAGTAGAATATACTTGATTTGGGTGTATCAAAAATATATCTTTACTTTTTGAAGCCCTTTACCCGAAAGCTTCTTTCATGAACCAATTTGAAGACTATTATGGACATCACTGTATTATTACTTTTTTATCACATATTATGGTGTTTCGAAAGTATTTCCGCTTTTTCATTGCCCTTTTCTCCAAAGATTATTTCAGGTAAACATCTATTTATGACTTCTCTATTATTATTATTATTATTATTATTAGAGATTATCATAAGTATTTGCGTTTTTACAGCCCTTTACTCCAATGCTTATTCTATGTACACATCTAAACACAATTAAATAATTCACTATTATTATTATTATTATTATTATTATTATTATTATTATTATTTCCTTGGATTTCTGTTGTATACACATTTCCTTCCGGGTCCCAACCAGAGACCTAAGGTCAGAAATGGCTTCATGATCATTTTACATTGATCACTTTTGTAAAAAAACAAAAACAAAAAAAAAACAGAAAGACAAAAAACCTATGATCATTGGTCTGGCCTCTGTCCTAGAGAGGTCACTCCGCCAAAGCACTGAATTTTAATCAAACAGGGGCGCATCTCCCGAGACAAACGGATGCTTACTATTATTGTGTACCGAAAGTACTGGATATTAAGATACACACACACGCACACACACACGGTAACAGAATAACAGAAAGTTATATAAACGTCCATCATTACGATGGAAAGAAGTGAATCTTCCATGTCATCGCAAGAAGATCGAATGTTTGATTACTTAACTTTTTAAATATTTTGCATAGATAAAGCTTATTATAATGTGTGAACTGTACTTGTGAAAACAACTTTTTTGTATTTCTTTAAGTAGTGGGCTATGCGGAATCCTTTCACTGCATCTATCGGATTCTTTTTCAATCAACCCGAGAGCTCCAACTACTACTGGAATTATCATGTGTCACTTCAAGATACTTGTATTTTGATAGTTTTCTGAAGATCATCACTATTATTATTATTGTCATTATTATTTTCTCAAGACAGGCGACGTTTATACAAAGGCATTTTTTGTAATTGTTTTTTTTTTTATAATTTTATACTTGTATACAATTCTTGTGAGCATCTAAGACACGTAATGTATATAATTTTCATATACGTACATTATATATGTACTAAAAGTTCTCATAGCCGGGGGTGATAATGAGGACAAGCTCGCATTGTCAATAAAATTCTTCCCTGGCATGCGTCTAAAATAGCCTCTGACAACTAAGCCCAGCACAAAGTCGGAGAACAGACGAAGACGGAAAACTGGCGCCTCATAACCAGCTGCTTCGAGTAGATAGAACTCGACAGCTCAGGAAGGAAAAGAAAAACCCGGTTTTAAACCTCAGCTGCCTTGCACTCATATCCAAAACACGGAAAAGGCTATGGAAAGTAAATCCAGATAGAAAACCCGGAGTGAAGCTCCGAAGAAGGTCGGCTGTCAGCAGTGACAAATTTCTGGCAATTCAAGCATTGTCCCCAAAATGTAAAGCCCTTTATTCATTTTGAAGTTGTCGTTACGGCCGTGAGGCATGTTGCAGTTTTTTGTGTATATATGTGTACTAGTGAGTTAGTCAAAATGCCTTGACTCACTTTATAGTCCACCAATAGAACGTTAACCAATCAGAAGACGTAGAACATTCAATCCGTCGTGTATAAAGGCAGCCATTTTTGTTCACTCTACCCGAATGTCCAGTCCAGCTTGTCAGGCGAAGATAAAGAGAAGGACGAACTATACTCTACTACCTTTTACCAAAATATCCACTGCTAACGTGAACAACGCTTTCCTACAGCCTTCGAAATATTCACTACTAACCTCTGGATTCTCTACTCAAGACGACCGTCATTATGAACAACAAGGCAGAGCATGTATTTGGTGCAGAGCACGGTCTACATTTGTCATAGGTCAGACCTATGTCCTAGAGAGGTCACTCAGAGTCTCACCGCCAAAGCACTGAATTTTAATCAAACAGGGGCGCATCTCCCGAGACAAACGGATGCCTACTATTTTTATTGTGTACCTAAAGTACTGGATATTAAGATACACACGCACACACATACGGTAACAGAATAACAGAAAGTTATATAAACGCCCAGCATTACGATGGAAAGAAGTAAAACTCTCATGTCATCGCAAGAAGATCGAATGTTTGATGAAAACTGAAACCGCATACCCCGAACACGGCCGTTATTTGACTGATTCTAGAAATGAGTAAACTTTTTTTTACTTATGGAAAACTTCCGTAATACTCAAAGGTTAACGTTTCAGTTGGGAAACAGCATCCAGCGGAAGTCGTGTAACTGGAGTGTCAACAAGAAACGAAATAAGTGCTTCATTAATGCTCTCTACAACTCCTTATGCTGCATCGATCTTAGCGGAGATTCAACCTTTGCTAAGGCGTCCGCTCTTCCTCAGGCCGTTCCGCCATCCATTCACACAAACTTGCCAGATAAATAGCTTGCTATCTTCCCCAATCTCTCTTGCCGCAGTGAGGATTAAGTTTTCCTAGCCCTCTTTCTTCATTATGTGTCCAAGAAATATAGGCTGTTTTTCCTGATTTCGAGAATATTCTTTTGTTGCCATTTTCTTTAAGACTTCAGTGTTGCTTATTTGCTCCGTCCATGGAATTTTCAGCATTCTTCTGGTGAATCACATTTCTAGTTTTTTCTTAGGGAAATTGTTCAATATTATCTGCCATATAAGAAGACGGATGACACATAGTAATCCATAACTCTTTGTTTCTAATGATCTTTTTATGCTTCTCAGAACGTTGCTTAGCTTCTGAAATGCATCTTTCGCTAGTCTAATACATGTTCAGATCTCAGAGTCACATTTTCCAACCTCGGTTTAAACGCTACCCAGATATTTGAACTTCTGCACCCGCTTGATATTAATATCTCCAATTCGTAACTCGTATCTCGGGATTTTTCACTAGCTGATGAGACGTCCCAAAAATCGATTGCTGGTCGCATATTAGAAAGGGCAATTATCCAGTCAATGAAGCGGTAATCTAGACTATTTTCGGTATAATTCCGTCATTGGAGATTTTTTTTTTAACTCGTCCACAAAATAGCTTTTTCCGGTTCTGGACATGTCGACAATGTTAGCCAAACGGCAGTTGCATTACGACGTGGTTAACTGCAAAATAAATAGTCTCATAAAAGTTGTCTAGTGATCGATAGGCCTTTACGAACATCAATTCACCATTCCAGGACATCGAAAAAGAGAAAAAAAAAACGAAAGAAAAGAACATCGAAAAGAATGTTCCGTTTGCGCTTTATCTCATCGGTCCTCGAAGCACTCAAACGGTGTTCAGTAATATCCAAGGTCGTAATAGAATTCCTGAGAACTACGATAGGAGTGGTAGTGGTGATTGAAGTCGCCATTTGTAAAAATGGCGAATAAGCCTATGCGAGAACGATTGCGAATATTACTTTGTCGTTTGGGTTTGGCAAGAGAGTTAAAAGGGCGGTTTTAGCCGCCGCAGAACAAAGCAAGCTTTGAAAATGAAGACAAAGATGGCAGCCAACAGGAGAAATTATATATCGATTTAGTAATAAGGGGAGAAAATAGCGGAATGGGCTTTGGCTGGTACACTTAGTGGTTGTTAGCTAACTTAACCTGTCATTAAGTGGATCAGATTTTTTTCCCTTTATAGAAAGGACATGAGATCAAAGTTGAGGCCATATTGAGATTTTGCGGGATCTCGCGAGGGAAAATATGAAAAAGACGTTAAACTGCATTCAGAAGGAAATTAATGTGAAAATATTTCTCAATTTGATTTATAGATCTAGTCAAGGTATTTGAGTGTAAGAGTTCGCCTGTCGAGATGAATTTTGATTTATTTCCATTATTTTCTTTTCAGGAGAACTTTTTACATGTATCTGTCTTATTTGTAGATTCCAGTGGCAACCTCTCTGCTCGAAGATGATATTTTTCGATGTAGCAAGATAATACTTGGATAATTCCTAGATTAACTTACACTAGCTATTTACGTAACCTGTATTAACCCGGCAGGATATATTCAACAAATATATCAAAACTTTTATTAGCTACACACACACACACACACACACACACACACACACACACACACACACACACACACACACACATACATACATATATATATATATATATATATATATATGCGTGTGTGTGTGTGTGTGTGTATGTGTATGTGTGCGCGTGCGTGCGTTTGTTTCAGATTCCTCATTGACTGCTGCAACATCTCAGCTGGGATACAGTGTTTACACAACTCGACCAAGAACTCTGGATGAGTTAAAACAGAGAATTCAAGATTAAATTCATAGTATCCCAGCAGCAGTCAATGAGGAATCTCAACTGCAGATTTCAAGAATGCATTCGTACAGGAGGACGCCATCTACAGGACGTAATTTAAAA